TCGCTACTCCCTCCCCTCCTGCCTCCTCCTCCTCCCTCCTCCTCCTCACCACCTCTGCCTCCTACGGGTACTCTCCTTCTCCTCTCCAACCTCCGACCTACTTCCTCCTCTGCCTCTTCACGTCTTGTTGTTTTCCGGCAGACTTGACAGTGAGGACGGGCTGCTGCTGGACTGTGTCAAGCCGCAGCAGCTTTGCATGAAGATCTGGAAGGTCGAGGGCAGTCACGTCAACATGAAACCTCCGCTACGGGTACGCTAGAGCGCGCCTGCCGCGCCGTCATTGTTTGCCATTGTTGCACCTCTAGAGGGCGCCTTCTGTGCTGCGATCATTTCCAGTTGCGCCTGCAGAGGGCGTTGCCTGTCTCGTTATTGGTTGCTATTGTCCTTTTAGAGGCCGCTCGTGGCATCGGCATTGTTCCTGTAATTGTTCACTGATTAGTCGGTAGAGGGCGCTTGCTAACTTCTTATTAGTTTGGAGTTGTACCAATAGAGGGCAGTTATCATGTCTTTACCTCCGACTATGCACTGTGGTCACATGGGCTCTATACTCATAGCATACTGTAAACAATACATTTAGTAAATATTTACACAATATTTGGACAATATACGTATAGTAATAGGAATACATATCTGATGCCCACTACTGTTACATTCTAAACATATGTACAGAGACTCCCCGACTTCCGAACATTCGAGTTACGAACTTTTGATGATACGAACAATTTGCCCTAAAGTCCATTAGTGTAGAATATTGTGTCAATATTGGTGAATAAAAATACATAATCGCCCCCTGATTTTGACTTTCGCCAACTCCTGTGTTCACGTATATGTTTACACTATGTACACTTCTAGGTTACTCGATGTTCACACGTACATATGCTACGCTACTGTACAATACGACATATGTTCGACTTACGAACGACCGCTCGGAACTGAACATGTTTCTAAGTCGGGGAGTCTCTGTATATATGACATGACAGCACTGCGGATGCAGGCACAAGTAGGCAGTTCGCTGGCATGCAGTAACGAAGCCCACTCGGAGCACTGTTCACATGTTTGTTTCTCGCACGCAGGCGGTGCAGTCGTTTCCCGACGCGCGGAAAAAGCTGGACAAGGTTGGATGCTTTCACTTCAGGTATGATGACACGGTATACGATCGCGTAGCTGTGTGTGTGTGTCATGTCCCCCAACTCTGTGACCTTTTAATTTAATGAGTGCGTGCTGGGTTTATTAATAACTTACAGGTGTGTGTGTGTGTGTGTGCGTGTATGTTTGCAAGTGTGCGCGCGTGTGTGTATGCATGCGTATGAGGGTAATGTGAGTATGTGTGCGTGTGCGTGTGCGTGTGCGTGTGCGTGTGTGTGCATGCGCGTCTGTGCATGTGCGCTGTGTGCGCTAGTGTGTGTGGGTGCGTGCGTGTTTGTGCGTGTGTATTCATGTGTGTATGTAGCATTAACTATGCATTTGTGCCTCGCAGGAATAGGAGAGCTCCGGAGACAGCCGGGACGTATAACATCGCGTTTGTTTTCTCATCGGAGAACCGGACTCTCTACAGCACTGTGGTAGGTTGCCATGCCAACGCACCGATCACCAGCAGCCGGTTGTCAGAAACATCCTATTAATTGCGACATTATTACTAAGATGTCATCACTTTTAAAAAGTAAACCGTAAAGTAATTTGGAAAAAAATGTTTTTTTACGACATACAGAAGTTATGGCATTTTAGATAATGTTTCTGACAGCCGGTCACGAAACAACTTTACAAGAGTTTGTTGCGTGTTTCAGTGTTTCAGCTTCGTGGCTTATTTATTTATTCGTAGGATTTAGTCTGCAATTTTTTCCCACTTTGTCAACGTAGGGAATTGATCTCGCAAATAGAATCAAGAGTACCATAATAGAAAATTATCTATTATTTTAATATTATATTATTTATATTATATTATATTATATTTATATTATGTTATTTATATTATTTATTTATAAGTTATCTGAAATGTTCTATTATGGTACTGTTGACAGCATTCAATATCATATTAAGAAGTGGTATATTGACTATACCTTCTCTGAACACACATTTGTTATAAGGCATCCACGCGTGCTCTCTCTCTCTCACTTCTCGTAATAGCAACGACATATAGATTAAAGAATTCACTTTACGCTTTTTGATAAATATCGATACAGGTCTGTTTGACTCACAGACCAGCGATAATTAATCGATTTATTGGTTATTGATTATCGATGATTGACAGATCACAATCGAGGTTGGAGCCGCGGCACCCGTCTGCCTCGACCTTCTTACTCCCGTTGGCATGCCGACGGTGTCCAACAGAGCAGCGCCCTCTGCCCGCATGATCCTCACCAAGGGAGAGCTGACACTCAGGGTAAGAATCCGGCTTCAGGGTACTGCTACCTACTAAGGCACAGGAGATAAAAAATAATATACATGTACTTGCATATCTAAAGGTATACACGAGATATAAAGTAACATATGTGACCCGCTCCAGCATAATACGGACTAAGTCGCAAGTCATTGTTTTGAGTAATGAGCACGCACACATGTCAATGCTGAAAATGGCCTACCTGGACAAAAATGAGATTTTTACAAAAATAACTTCCTAAGTGCATATTACTCCGTATTTAGGATTCAGATATACTATAGATTATTATGTGTCATTGTTTAATTTAAAAAAAATAAAAATAAAAATTTTTTTTTTGAAGGCCCCTGACGCTCATCCCCGACTGGGTCCCAGTTACCCAGAACTGTCTATCTTCCAAAATAGCTGCATATTCCGGAATAAGTCGTTTCCGCTGATCTTCAATTGCTGTAGATCATGCGTCAATTCTTCTACTATATAGCCAAATATTATATAATACTTTAAAGGTAATTTAATAATCTATTCAGATATGCCAATAACTCAATTTATAGAACTTCCTACTTAATCTGGTTTTGCCTGCGGCGGATGTCACATATGATGCGACATAACACGAGATTAAAAAATAATTACGAGATTGATATGATTACAGTGGAAAATTAATTAAACAAATTAATATCAAAGATACGAGCAAACAAACGAGTATACTGCAATGAGCTTCGAAGGTCGTTGGAAGGTTGGTGTTCATCGAGTTTGCAACAGTGATTTGTTCAGAAACGATTCATTCAGGTCGCATCTTATCTTATAGGATCGTCATGGAAACGCGGCCGGCGACAGCGTGTCCGGCTTCGTCCAGGTGGCGCTAGTCAGCGATGAGGGCGCCACTGAGTTGCCGCAATTCTTCGGAGATGTGTCGTCGCTGGAAGTGCCTCTTGTCTCTGGCCGCGCCCCACCTTGATGTACGCATGCTCACTGTAGCTGTCAATATGACGGGATTCTAGTCTGCATTCAACGATTCATCTACTTGAGTCAGTTGATGGAGGGTCATACAATCATTTATGTATAACAACATGTCCATAATTATTTAATATAAATATTAATACTATACAAAGGGTCCATATTTTCTTGACTACGCGTAAAAGTCGTTGCTTGGATTTCAACGGCTGAAGAAGATAGGCACGAATGGCCAACCGAGCACGAAAACCTTGCAACATAGTCGAGTCAGTGTATGAAGACCTCAATAATTGTTAGAATTATTAATTATCAATTATTGTATTTTTTTCATTTAATGGTATCATTAAGCATTATTATTTATTTTTAACATTAAGAGCTCAACACATTCATTAAGAGCTCAATTGCTATCAATTTTATTAATTTTTTATTTATTATTATTATTAATTATTATTTATTAATTTTAACTCGTTATCGCCTCGCTTTTGCAGGATCTGCAGATCGCGGAGAATTCTCAGGGTCGCGACGGGAAGTACGCCCTGCGTTTCACGGCGCGGTGTTTGTACGCCGCCCAATTCCGTCCCCTCGACATCCCGTTCCTGTTCTACAATGGTAATTACACGTGTGTGTGGGATGAGAGGGTAACCGCTGCTGCCGTACCTAGCTGCATCACCCGCACACATAATGCAGTCGTGGAAATGACACGTGCAATGGAAGCTCATAGCAGCTGCTGTTGATGTTGTTGCTGCTGTTGCTGCTGATGTTGTCATCCCACGCATATACTGCGCCACTGCAGTTTTGGAAATGAGTCTGAAAACTCAGCCACTCCTGATTTTGAACATTTGGATTTCTACCATATAACCTTATGGTCCACATAATTATGTCCACTCGACATCCCGTTCCTGTTCTACAATGGTAGTTACACGTGTGTGTGGATTTCTACTGTATAACCTATGGTACAGTCCATAGAAATTAGCCGGAAAACAGGAACGCTCCTTGAAAAATGTATCTACAGATAGAAATAATGATGGGAGTGCGTGTTGGGTCGCATTAGGTCATCGCTGGAAAAATTCATCAACAGGTCGACCTTTTAGCGACGAAAATTGATCGAAAAACGGAACTCGGCCATCGTGATGAGTTGACGGTAAACAAGCATGGATTGTCACGCATGTTTCAGATACGAGGAAGCGGGCTGAGATGGCGTCGTTGTCACGGCAACGCGATGAACTGATGGCGGCCGTCGGCAAGCAGCAGCGCCACGTGGACGCGAGCGAGCGACGAGCGAGGCAGCTGAAACGTACGTATAGATCGTAACATGATAGATACATAGATAGGTAGATCCATAGATAGATAGATAGATAGATAGATAGATAGATAGATAGATAGGTAGGTAGATAGATAGATAGATAGATAGATAGATCCATAGATAGATAGATAGATACATAGAGACATAGATACATAGATAGATAGAGTTGCGACGACACGTGACTATAATATATATATTGTGTTTTGCAGTGGCGTATGACGAGGTGTCGGCGAACGAGTTGAAGCTGCGGAGAGAGCTGCTCCGGAGGAACGTTCCCACTGCTCAGCTTACCGGCGACGTGAGTGCCATCTGGTGTCGCACAACACAACTATTAT